CAACACCACCACCTCTAGTCATTTGGGGGAAAAATGCCAAATTTATTATGAATTCCATATTTTTGGCATAATTCAGAATGATTTAAGATGGAAGAAAAAAAATGTTGGCATTCTCAAAGAGAAATATGCCATATTTTTGGCATTTTCCGAAAAATATGGAAGTTTGTAGGAAATATGGCATTTTTTTTAACGGTCGGAGGTGGTGGTGCAGGGAGGCGGTACCACCACCTCCTGTCACCGGGGTAAAAAAATGGCAAAAAATTTATGAATGCCATATTTTTGGCAAAAGTCAAAAGGATTAAAGTTGGCAGAATGAAAATGTTGGCATTCTCATAGAGAAATATGTAATTTTTGTGGAATTTAAAAAAAAGTGGCATTTTTTACACCGATCGGAGGTGGTGGTTCAGGGAGGTAGTACAGGCGGTGGGAAAGGTATCCATATTTTTTTAATTTTTTTATGGAGTGTTACTATTTTTTATTAATTTTCAAAAAAAAAATTAAATTTTTTTCTTATTTTTTATTTTATAAAAATTTTATTAATTTTTTTATTATTTTTCTACGAATTATTGAATTTTTCGAATTTATTATGAATTAAACATTTAATTATGACTTTTAGCTATCTTTTACTAATATTTAAAGGAGGAGTAAGAATGGAAGGAAGAAATGAGTATGTTTCCAATAGCACCACTATGGTCCTATTTTGGAATAAAAAACATAGCAAATCCTATTTTGAGTTTTTGTCATAGTTTTAATCCTATTTGAAGTAATTTCTAAATATTTTTTGAAACAATTACACATAATAAGTACATGTACAAAATCTATGTAGTGTAACCTATAGTTTAACTTTTATTTGTAAAGGTTGTATCCACAAAATCATTTTATTTTTATTGAGAGCTTTTTATGATGGTAAGTAACTTAAAATAGCTTACTCTACTCTCTTTTTAAACAGAGGCAGGGGGACAGCTAGAGAGCGGCCATACTAGGCTCCGGTCCACCCCAAATTTTAAAATACTTCCATTTATAGTGCAAGAAAATATAAATATATTTTGATAAACTCTTTGTGCCGGTTCAGTCCATGTATCCTCTTGCCTATACAACTGGACATAGGTATATATGCTCTAAAGTTTCACGTTTTTTTTGCTTAGTCTTTTGAGAATAGTTGAGTATTTTATATGTTGTCTAAGATATAGTTTAGATAAATATCCTCGTCATGCAACAATAAGCAAAAATGTGAGTTACAATTTAAAATATAATATATTAGTGTCATTGCAAGAGATTAACGTATATATACAAGTGTTTGATTTAATTATTAAACCCTAAATTTCAAAAATCAATATCTTAAGAATCATAATAAATCTAGTATCAAACACCAACTTTGTAGAATTAAGAACTAAAAACCAAAATATGATATTTAATGATTAATAAATAAAATATCATATTTTCAAATTTTCAGTTTTGGACGGTACCGATTGGGTATACACATGTGGAAATCAAAACCATACTACTCCGATTCGATTTCATTTTTCTTTCATTTTAATTTGTTTTGCTTGTGGATCGGATTTTATCGATTCGGTTTCAATTTCACCAAGTAACCCCTAGTTGATTCTATATCAAGATGCCTATTATAGAATTAGCTAGTTAAATATTGTAGAATCATTTACAATTTGAGTATAAATAGGGAAGTAAAAATTAATCAAGGCAAACAATTTGTGTATATATTTGAAGAACTTACCATATGACATCCAAGAATTTATAATCCAATATGTAGAACCTATTTATCTCCATTTACCAAAGCAATAGACTGCTTTTCTTGTGAGCTGCCCATCGATGTTGTGTTGAGAGTTATGAGAACTCTTTGTACCACTTTGATTGGATTTTATGCATTCTAAGCTATCTGCAAATCATGCTTCTTAGTCTTATACTCTTATTGGGGCATGTTGTTTGTTGGAGAGTGCCTTTCGTGGACGATTGGACGGGTGTTCCACCTAATTGTATTGTAGATGCTTCATGTACCGATCTTGGGAGTAATATGTAAGTTTATTATTTAAAGAATAAGGCAGTATATAGGGGGTGTTTGGATCTGATTCTCAAAACTGATTCTGCTCCTTCAGAGAGCAGAAGCAGAAGCTGGAGTGTTTGGGTGAAATTCCAGAAGCACTTCTGGAGCTCTAATTTACTCTCAGAATCAGTTTTTTTAGAAGCTGGGGGTACCAACTTCTGAAAACTGATTCTGATTCTGCTTCTGCTTTTAAAAAAGAAGCAGAAGCAGAATCAGTTCCAAACACCCCCATAGTTCTTAATATTGAAACCTGTAACTTTTTTAGCTTAATCATTTCATCGGCTATGGTGAGACAACAACTTTAGATCTTTCAATAATCGTAACAATCTATATTAATAAATATGCTAGTTGTGCCACGCGCATTTCACAATGGGAAGATGCCCATTATATATGACTTCAGTAGTTTTATCATGGTATCTTCTTGCTTGATACTATTTTATGTATAATATGAACTCGCTCGCGCACACAAATGTACGTTGTTGGATTGAACGCACCATAATTATTTAAATGAATACGTTAAACATGTTGTTGACCTGAAGTGTACCAGGGTTGAGATATTATTATTTCAGGACAGAGTTATAATTTTGAGTGGGATCTTGCTACCATGAATAGGGATCTCTCCCGTCAAAATGAGTTCTCAATCTATGAAACTCCTTTACAAGTTGATGTTGACCACTCTCACCAAGCACTCTAGCTGATGTTGACCACTCTCAACAAGCTGATGTTCACTTCCTAATATAATCCACTTTCATTACGTAAATGTCAGTGACAGCCGTATCTACCACACAACTGGTGGTAGAATAGTCCGAGAAGGCGAGAAGCTTTACTTTGAACAGATTTATCATGGGTAACATATTTCTACATCATCCTTGAAATATTGTTTTCCTAACCCCCATCATGCCCCCCATTCTCAAGGTTTGTTTGCAAACACTGCTCACAATCACTTTTGAACTTTTTTAAATGATTTGGAAAAAATGATTAATAGTAAAAGTTGGGAAGTGTTTGCAATTGCTTCAACTTTAAAAAAGTAATTTTTTAAAGTAATTTTGGGAAAAGTGATTAACAGTAAAAGTTGGTAGTGTTTGAGAAAAAAGTGATTCTGAAAAGGTAAAAGTTGGTAGTATTTGGGAAAATAAGTACTTTTTGTATAATAGAAAAAGTGAAAAGCAGTTTAAAACACCATTCTTCCGGATTCCAACTTTTAGCTTTTAAGTGATTATTTTAAGCAGAAACTGTCATTTGAAAACACTCTTTTCAACTTATTTAAAGCCAAAAGCTGAAAAATGCTTTTTTAAGCAACCGCAAACACTCCTTTGGTAATGTTTGAGAAAAAAGTGATTTTGAAAAATAAAAGTTGATAGTATTTTGTAAAATAAGTGTTTTTTGTGCAATAGAAAAAATATAAAGCAATTTCTAGCTTTTAGTTTTTAAGTATTAATTTAAGTAGAAGTTATCACTTAAAAACAATCTTTTTAACTTTTTTAAGCCAAAATTTTGGAAATCACTTTTTTCCAATCGTTTGCAAACAAAGCCTCAATCTAAATACCCAGTCCTTTATCTGCTCTAAATTGATTATTCATATCATCTGAGGCTAGAGCTTCCACATAATTAAAGCCCACATTTGCTTTCACTTCTTTTTTATCTCCAGACCCCTATTCTCATCTTCCTATTTTGTTCTTTTACCGTACCGACTTGTAACATTTTTTTTGTATTCTTCTAGTAATTCAATTAGTAATGCAATATAGTATGTGCCAATTTAAAGATCAGATTCTACTTAAGAAATTAAGAAATTTTAACATTAGTAGTACTACTACTTGTAACTTCCTGTTAAAATAAGAACTCTATTGTAGGATTGCATCGCGATTTAACTAAACATACGAAAGATACAATAATAAATACTTCGTATAACGAAAATTGTCAAACAAGTCTCTACATACTACTAGTATTTCAAGAAGTCAATTAGATTTTCATACTTTATAAACACCCAATTAGACTATTTAGCAGGTAAGTTACCGATTCCCGGTTTCTCTTTGTTTTTCATTTCATGTGTGGCAGCCTTGTACCCTGTTCCCCTTCACTTCATGATTGGCAAAGATTGGGTCCATCTTCAGATCTTTCCCAGGTTTGTTTAGGTTTTAGATTTACATTCAACACTGGGAAGCACATGCTTTGGGAGCCGTTCAGCCTTTTGGGCACCAAACCAACCAGCACTAGCACTAATGTGAAAATCATTGAGTAATTAACAGAGATATTAAAATTAAATAAAGCAGCACTTACACAATGTAAATCCAAGAACCCATGAAGCCATAACTACCAGGGACGCTGTTTTTATTCAGCCCAAAGTGGCTTACCCGTTTGGGAAATGTGAAGATCAATTTGAGATATCTAACCTCAAGTGGCTGGAAGGAGGAAGTGAGAAATGTTTGAAAGGGGACCCCACTACTCTACGTCAAGTGAAAGAATCCAGGAAGACTATAGTCAAAGCCTTGAAGAACCAAGGGGAAGGGTATTACTTATAGTGTGAGAGGCATAAAAGGGATGACAATATTGAATATTCAAATAGGCAGTAGGATCAAGACCATTACCACTATCATTAGAAGAAAGGAGCTCTTTGAAAAAGGTAATAACAGCATTACTAAAATCCTCAATATTGCCAACAATCCAAGAACCATCATCAAGCTTGATTTTATTGATGTTGAGCTTATTGGGTTTAGCTTTTAAGTAGAGATGAAAAAATCTTGTATTAACATCTCATTACTTCCCTAATTGCTTCATGGCATTATACCTCGCTCACGTTTACTTCATCATGTCCATAGTCAAGTGTAAAACATGTACGGATTGTCATGAGATAAAATTATTTGGAGATGGTCATTTGTGAATGTCGAGTCATTGTTGAATTAACACAAGATTATTAGAAGTAAATACATATTCCTATAATTATCCACTTCTTGTGGATTTTTTTTCATTTTGTAAGAATAATCTAAGGCTGCAGATCAGCCTATAACAACAATACCTTTTAAGATGTTCAAAGTCAAACAAGAAGATAAACTTCACCTTCCGTAGTATGCGAATGGAAAACATGTGCTATGATGAAATCGAAAATGTTGCAAAGTTTGATGCATAGAAATTTTGAAACCACTATTTTGAAGAACCGGGCATGGATACAAAATAGCAAGGGAAGAAGAGAGAAAAAAAGAAGAAAATAGAAGTGGGAAAACTGGGAAATCGAGCCACACATAAATGCATTCCAAATTAACTCCCACTTTTTCATTTTACGGGAGTGTTCTATTTCTTGGAATATTCCAAAATGGCGATCAGAGTTTGGATGATGGTAAGGAGGATGAGAAAGAGGGCAGCGCATAGAGACGTGACTTTCCAAGGAGAGCTGAAGTATGAGCGGAAGTTTTCATACTTGAAATTGGTCCAAATGTGCCAATGGTTGTCGTAGTGCTTGCCCACATTACGAAACACATGCTTCAGGTAGCTTTCAAGGATATCGCACGTCCCTAGCCGGGCCACAAAGGCGACCACCTCACCCTGCGTTGCTAAAGAGTGGCCCAAGACATTGGCCTCCCACAGAATGTCCACGTCCTTGTCCGTGCGTATGATGCAGCTCAGAAACATCGCGTACGCTGACACCACCTTGTCTTTCCCCCCGCGGCACTGCTCAAATGCCAGGCAGTTGAGCAAGAACGCGCACGTCAGCTCGTCCAGCTCTAGGTCCGGCATCCAGATTACTCCCCTTTCAAATTTCACCGCTAGGAAGCTCAACCTCCACGCATCCTTGTTCAATTTCAGCGTGATTCCGACTCGGCGCATCTTGGAGATGCTCTCCATTGCCCATACTCTGCGGACATCCGGGGGCGTAAATCCTAAGTCGACCCTTGGGAAACACCACAACAGGGACCTTTCTACGGCTCTCTTCAGCTTGGTCTTGGCTCGCTGCAGCAGCCACAAGTTGCAATGGGTGTGGCGTCGGGGCTCATCGTAAGTCTTTGGGAAGTAACTTTTCCGGGCTAAATCAAGGAGATGTAGCCATTCGAACTTGTGACCTAAAGGATGAAGGTAGAAGAAGTCGATGGCCGTCTTGAACAATGAAGGGCAGATGTCACAGCCCTCTGTAGTAAGGTCGAACAGCTTCTGGAGTACGATATATGGTATTTGGTTCTTGAGGCAGAGAAAGTCCTCGTGGAAACTAGAGCGTATCCATTGCATTGATCGAAATGGATCGTCTCTATCAAAGGGATCCACCTCGTTGAAGGCTAGAAACATTTCAACCACAAAGCACCCATCAAGAACCAACATTTCTACAAACTCATTGCCTTTCAGAGCAGTTATATCCTCCGAATACGATTCTCTGGCCCCTGTTGTCAATCCTTCGACAGCTTTTAGGTAGTCCTCCAAACCCACGCCAGTTTTCACCCTCGTCCTCTGTATCGCTCGTTCCAAGAACCTCCACTTGTGCTTCTCCATCTCCCTCAGATGCGGCTTCCCGCGGTGGTATGGACCTATTGAGACCGTGCGAGGTTGATACGACTTGCCGTCAACTTCAGAATCGGTGAAGCCCTGAGGTACCCGGAAAATGCAGCAATCGTTTCTGCCAGCCGATTTGCTGATTAATTTCCGTTGTTCTGACAGCTTACTTTGCATCAACTAGAAGAGTTCGTCTACATTGACTTGCCTATGGTTGCTTGTGAGTCCTTCAACCTCCTCATTCGGGGGCATCTCTTCTTTAGAGTTCCTCCCATCCATGTTTGATTCAGATTGTGGCCTGGTTGATTACTGCAACATATAGCCGGTCCCTAGCCAGGGGAATTGAAGCATCATAATCGTACGTCCTCTAACTGCATGTCCAAGTAAAGTGGCAGTATTCTGAAACATCATTGTTTCAGAAATATGGCATACTTCGTACATAAAACACTCCCTTATTAGCTATTTCCCAAAAAGTGGTAGTATTTTTTTTTGAAGAAAACTACGTTCACTTCTGTTCTGTATGCTCAACTACTTTATCTAGGTGTGGGTGCGGTCCGGAACGGTCCGGTAAATTGGTAAAACCCGTAATGTATCCGTGAGGTTTTTAACGGTCCGGTACGGTCGGGTTCCAAGGATGGAACCGTTCAGTACCATGTCGTTTTGGAACGGTACAAAACGGTACGGTATAATGTCAAACACATGCTAAAAAATTTGAATAAATCTTGCAATTAGTAGATGTCATCACATCAACCAACTCACATGAAATGTTGATATAAATACAAAAAATTGCATAAATGTATTAACAGGGCCGGCCATGGGGCAGTCCACCTAGACAAATGTCTAGGGCCCCCAAATGTTAGGGGCCTCCAAATTTTGATATAAGCCTATTATTATATTTGTGTATCTAGTTTTAATTTCTAATCGGAAGAGGCCCCTGACCGGAGAAAGGAGCAAGAGATTCAGCGATAAGTGAAATTATTGTTAGTACATCGATATGAGTACATCTTAGTCAGTTAGAGTCTTAGTCAGTTGTTTCCTTCTATATTATTGATTAAGAGTAATTTTTTCCCAATTCTTAGTATGTCTTAGTGGGTTAGCGTCTTAGGGACTAGGCCACTAGCCATTAATCCATTATGATGTATTAATGAATTATAGTATGCTACATATTTGTGTTTGTATTAAAATAATAAAATATTAAATGTATTTGTATAACTCAATATGACACTAACAGTATAAGTATTAGGAGTATTATATACGCAGTAATAAATAATACGGAGTATAATGTATTGTCTTAATCGTTGAGTTTTTTCCCTGAATAATGCTAATTAAATAAATAATTCCCAAAATACTGCTGAGTTAAAAATAATTCCTTAGTTACGTAAGTTTTCTTTGCAAAAGCCGCCACTTGAAGTGGCGGCTCTTGTACTGCCTCTGAAAAACCGCCACTTCAAATGGCGGCTCTCCTTAACCACGATTAATCCAGCAGTATTTTGGGAATTATTTTTAACCCAGCAGTATTTTGGGAACTATTTATTTAATTAGCATTATTCCGGGAAAAAACTCTTAATCGTTTACTCAAAAAACTCAATCATATACTTGGTTGTGTAAAGCGAATAAATTGATTATAATAGTTATAACCATTTGTGAATGTATTAAAATTTAGAAAAACTTGATTAAGTTAGAATTGTGATTTGTGATTATAGGTCATGTTCATTAAATTTTTATTTGTGAATCATTTACTTACCTATTGTTATTTTGTATGGAGTATGAAATTTAGGTCGTTATCTCCGATCGAATGAAAAAATTTATGTTTTCGATTGAAAAAATGTTAACTATTCTTGATTTAGTGATGTTTTTACTAATTTTTCTTTAAAAAAAACTAGAAGAATATACTATACAAATCCATGTATTTTTGATCAATTTTGGGTCATTTACTTTCAAAGAATTACTATCTTTACATTAATAGGAGCAGTCTGTGCTGCATTTCATAGTAGTATGTAATTTTATTTTGTTTACGTGATATTATTTGTATATTAATTTGATGAATAAAAGTAAAGATTCACAAATACACAAATAGTGCAACACAACTTAGAAAAAGTATAGCAAAATGATGTCGCACCAGATAAATATCATCTCCAATTTATCAAGTTCGTGAAAATATAAAAAAGTATATCATCAAATTGTTGAATATAATAGTAATTTTCAACGTTCTTCGATCTTCTTATTCATTCTAGGTTAAATATTACTCTATAATTCTAATTTATATTATAGTTGAACCTTGAGAGCTAAGATTTAAACCATATTAATTAAGTTGTAAAATTGCACAAACATGATACATACTAAAATATAACATAAATTATCTAAAAAGAACAAATAACGGGCTATAACATTTGGCTATTTTAGGGATGCATGAATACATACACAGGCTTTAAAATGGTTGATCTATAAAAGAGATCTATATGTATAGAAAAATATAAAAAATTCAAATGCATTATACATTTTTGAACGGTTCGGTCCGGTATTTTTCGATTCTCAAAATCTAGGACCGTTTAAATACTCGGTATTCGGTTCGGTACCATTACGGGACGGTTCGATACAGGTTCGGTTCGGGTTTTATGTCCACCCCTAACTTTATCTTTAGGGCCAAATATAATCAAAATATAATTAAAAGTTATTATTATAATTAGAAATAATTCCAAATATAATCAAAATATAAGTAGTGGACAAAAATGTAATCTTGGTAATTTAAATGACTATACTTGTATTAAAATGTTACTCCCTCCGTCCCGCTATGATTGTCTCATTTTACCTTTTCGGTCCGTCCCACTAAGAATGTCACATACTCCCTCCGTCCCCCAATTATGTTCCTAGTTTGACTTCAGACATATTAAGAAAATAAATTTGACTTTACTGTGGAGTGCACTGTTTGTCATTGTTTGGTACTGTTTGCCAAATAATGAAAATATTGAAGTATGAACTTAATTTAGTGATTGCCCAAAAAGGAAAGTGATAACTTAATAAGGGGACGGAGGGAGTACCTTATTTGGTAAAGTTTGTGTGGTTCTAAATCATTCCTACTTTATTCTTAATTTATCAATTCAATATCAACCATATAAATCTACTTTTATTAATAATCGTGTCACCTTCTCTTGTTCCAAACTTAGGGGGACGGAGATAGTATATCATAATGACTATATATAAGACTTACAAATAGTAACTTATAGTCACTTTTTTTTTATACATAATAAGTTTTAAATTAGTAAAATTTTGGGAAAACCCTCTTATAATTGTTTTATTAATTATTCAAATAAATTGTCCAAACATACACTTCATGTAAAATTAAATATAATTCTTAGCAATTAGTAATCATAGTTTACAAATAATCACTCAAACGGATTAGCTAGATCCATGTTTTTATTCAATGAGTATTTTTCTTAGATTTCGTCTTATAGTTTTCAATTCTAGTATAATTAGTATTTTATAAACTTCAATTAAACTTAAGAGCAACTAACAAGTATTGAGTGAATAATATTTCAATTCTTATATTTTCTTTAACCGCTAACCGTGGATAGTCAAACAAGTCCATAGGTTAAAAAAATCACTCCAAGCAACACATAAATAAGAATCCTTATCTTTTATTCTCCAAATAGAAACTAGTGGGTTTAGTCCTATTTTGCTGGTCTTGGACGATAATAAGGATAAATGGTGTAAAAGGTCTGGGCGCCGGTGAAAATTAGGAGAATAAGGGCAACTAAGAGAGACAGGATGGACCAAGGGGAGCTGAAGTATGTGTCCCACAACTCGGCCAAATGAACGTCCTCCCGAGATGCAGTGGATGTTGAGGTCCGCTTTTAATTTCCTGTGTTTCCGGCGGAAGCATCCGGGCTCGGGTCCCGATTTCCTTTGCCCACCGGAACCCGGCGGGAAATAACTTCTCCGGAGGATATCAAGTAGATGTTGCCCCTTCAACCCGTCTCCTAAAAATGCCTCGAGCACTTCAGGCTTTCTTGCGAATGCACCTGAAGTGTTGAAGAAGTGGAGGGCGATCAGGGACAAATTACTGTCGGGATTTTCTCCCAGAAATAGAACGGGAATCTTTTCGCCGTCCATTTTGGTCAGTGTGAACAATTTCTCGAGCACCTGAAATGGTATTTGGTTCTCAAGGCAGAGGAAGTCGTCCCGGAGGCTGAAACGTATCCACTGCATTGATCCGAATGGATCGTCTTTCTCAAAGGGAATCACCCCAGTGAATGCTCGAAACATTTCAACCACGAAGCACCCATCAAGGACCAACATCTCTACAAATTCATTGTCTTTGAGAGTTATATCCTCAGAATAGGATAATCTGGCCTCTGCTTCCAATCCTTTGACAGCTTCTATGTACTGCTTCAAACCCACACCTTTGGCCTCGGTCGTCCTCTTTATCACTCTCGCCAAAAACCTCCACTTATGCTCCTGTATCGTCTTCAGATGCGGCTTCCCGTGGTGGTATGGACCAATTGAGACTATGCGCGGTTGATACAACCGGACGTCGACTTTGGTGAAGCCCGGATGTACCCGGAAAATGCAGCACTCGCTTCTGCCGGCCGATTCGCTGAGTGCTTTCGGGGACTCCGATAGCTTTCTTTCCAAGAATTGGATGCGTTTGTCTTCCTGCCCTTGCACATTGATGCTTGGGTGTCTTGAGATGCCTTCGCCTTCCTCACTCCGACTCCCGTTCATGATTGATATTCTGGAATCTGGATTATACTCCAATGTGCAAACTATTTTTGAATGGAGTATCACTTGACAAAGCTGGTTCCTAGCTAGGAGAAACATCATAATTGTACTCCGTCCTTGTTACCTGAAACAGTTTCACAAATATCACATACATAGTGCTATAGTACACTCCCTTAGCTGTTTCCACATAAAGTGATGGTATTTTTTTGTAACTTTGAGCTTGGAATAGTCTTGAATTTTGTTTGTAATCGATTGAGTAGTTTACTTCTCTGTGCTCAATTATTGACACAGTTATGACTGCAACCCATTGAATAAAGAAAATGAAAGGTAGAGATTATAAAATCTGATAATGATATCAAGGTTTGAGTTTTCAACCAAAACCTCAAATCTATTTGTATTGGAGACGCTTCAAAAGGGAGAGGTTTAAAGAAGCGTTTCCATTAAAACATGGCTTGTACAGAGTATTTTGTCCATCATTGATATAATGATATGAAAATTATTTAGCCCTTATATTGTGATTGAGAATTGCTAACAATTTTGATATCTCATTTTTGTCCCCCTTATGTGCAATTTGCTAACTGCTTGTTAACTGTTTTAATAATTAGTGTTAGAATTTGCAACTTATGATTCTCTTCAAGCCTTGTTTCCCTAGGTCAGTCTCAAGAGTTTGCAACTTGTTACTTGTGGTACGTGTAGTTCTCTTCGCACAATTGAGAAAATTACAACTCTAGCTCTGCTAGCAATAGCTTGCCACAGCTTCCAGTCCATCAGCCAAGTTACTCTAGATAGATTAATCATTAATGGATTTGGACCATTCTTGGTCTATGTACACAGGCAACTAAGGATTTTTGTATACACTAAGAATTTTTCAATGAATTTTGGCGGTGTGTTTTGGAAATTGTTATTATTTTGGAAAAGTATCAATTACCAGACTTATTTAATTCATGGCCCAAGCTGGTACTTGAATTGTAGTGGTTGGTATTGTGAAATAGGATAGTACTAAGTATATACTTGCCGATATATACTAGAGGAGCAGCTGATACTTTTCGTTCACTAAAAGTTTTACATTTCAAATTTCTCCATTGTTTCAAACATTTCAGGTTTCGAGCTCGAGATATCTCGTTAGGCACGGTAATCTCAGAACCAACTGAGTTTGAATGTTTGGTTGACAATTGACTAATCACTCTCCCTTTGATTCATTTGATCTCATTGTAGCAGAAACATGAAATAGCGAGTGGCCGTTGAAGAGAGGATGTTCCTTTTCTTTTAGCCACCCTTCAATGCCATGTTCGAAGATATAAGGGGACTCTTCTTACCACGTAGATGGATCTCGATTTTATGTATGCTAATTGCTAAGTCATCTCCTAATCACGATGTCTTAGTGGAGCATGTTGTTTATCACACAGATTGCATTTTGTAGACTGGTTTGCCAGTTTGTCACCATATTGGATTGTTCGTTCAGTCGGTTGATGGCTTAGAGCATCCACTTTAATCTTCAACTTTAAGGTTTTTCATGGCTTATTATTGTCATGTCACCTCCACATAAGATAATCTCAAATAATCTCCAAATCAATAAATTTCTCCTCATTCATGATCTTAATTTACCTTGGATAGGAGCATGAGCATGCACGAACTACAAAGCTAGTCATCATCATAATATGAGTTTATGCCTAGAAGTTAGAAATAATCCAGCTTTAGAAATTGATACTAGATTATTTTATCAAATAATCTCATAAAATAATCTCAACTCCTATCCATGATCACCAAAAAGATCTTCCACATCATCAAAATGATCTAAAAAATCATCTATGGATGTGGATGTCCTTATTATATCGCCTGCTTCACTGCTTCTCTCGAGGACCCCAGTCTCAAGACTCAACACAGCCATTCAGCCAAGCTGCCAATTAAGGGACTAAGGGTTTCAGTCTTTTTTTTTGTTTTTACACTTTTAGTTTAATTTAAGTAATTTATTTGTTATTTTAATTTGTTGACGAGCACTTTGTCGTAGTGCGTCAAAATAAATCGATACTAACACTTATACGTAGTATAGTGAAGTAGAGTTCGTATTCACAGGGAAATGAATACTTGTCTTTTACAAAACTAGTAGTAATTAAAAGGGGATTTTGGGATTGTATGATTTTAATTAGTTAAATACTAAGATGAATTAAATAATTAATGAGATAAATGACTTGACTTTGCTACTTTCCCCTTGTTGATATGTTTGTTGATCCTTGTTATATCTATAACTTATCCCCTCTCGAATACTCAATCGAGGAGTATCTCCAATTCATCGAGGGTAGTTATTAACAACGACCATTCATTAATAACTCTTACTATTAGCCAAGTATAGAACACCGCCATATACCGACTTGATAGTAGCATTTAATCTTTTAACTCCTTGATGAAATGAATTGAGATTGATAACCTTAACACAATGGTTTCGGTTTAACAAACACAATTAATCCCTCTTAAAATTATTAACCACGACCGTGCATTAATAACCCGAAGTTACTTACTTGTGAAACCATCAATGATTAACCATCGGTTCATTGATCGTTTCTAGTAGTGATTGATGTCGAGATGTTAACTAATTGTCATCTTAGCAACACTCCCCAATATTAATATAAAGATAGATTAAGGAAAGAATTAATATTCAAGGGAAGAAGTAAGAAAATAACTCACAACTTTAACATTCAACAAGCTTCAAGAGCAAAATCAAGAAATGGAAGTTTAGCTCCTCATTTGAGGAATAAACATTCTAGAAAATATAAAGAAATAGCTATTCTAAACTGAGCTAAAGAGTATATGTGAATTGGTGATTTTATTGTGAAGATACAAGGGTGTATTTATAGGTGTTTGGAGGTGGCAGGATGGTGTACCCGACCGGGTATATAGGGTACCCGATCGGGTATTTTAGGCAGTTTCCCGGAAAGTCACTTTTCTAGACATACCCGGTCGGGTATGTAGGCATACGCGGTCGGGTATGAGCCGAATCAACTCAATACCCGATCGGGTATTGCCTATACCCCGACCGGGTATATGAAATATTTTTTCAATCTTCTTTTTATCTTGTCCCTTGAACTTTCCTTGAACTTTTGGGGTCCAATCTTAATCATTTGGATGATCTTGATCTGTTTTAAGCTCAAAATGATTCTAATCTAAACGAATTACATCTATCTAAGAAAATAAACTAGTTACACCAAAAGTGTGTAATTTCCCAAACAACAACAAATAAAACTAGTTAAAATAGAAATAATACATAATAAAAACACAAATCAATCAACTCCCCCATGCTTAGTTTCTTTACTCGTCCTCGAGTAAAGTCAATGTTTCATCAACACTTTAAACAATCATGAATAAGCAAAAGACAACCAAGTAATGTTTAATGTGTTTACCAAAGTGAAATGATCGCACTTATGCACTACACACTTCATGATATTGGGTTTACTTGTCTTCTATGCTTTTTTCCTCTTCATCATTGTATCACCACATCCTTGTAAAAATAATTTCTCTCATTTTGCCTAGGATTTTTTTTAATCCTAGCCTCTCATTTTAAAGATGGGTTTGCAAATACTTAATTGGGTCATCTTATTAGGTTTAAGAGCCCGACACAAAATGAAGAAACATTCATAACCCTTCTAGACCAAATAAGGAAGGCTGGACAATCCAAATTGCTACTTTGGGCCCAACGATGCTAAAAATGTAAGATACTCCATATTTGGAAAATGGTGTCCTAGACCCACTCGAAGGCAGCTAACAAGTTTTGTAGCCCACAAATATAAATGGAAAGGTCATAAATTAATAAATTAATGATAGTGAATTTATGAATTTTAATTAATACGTAGTACTCGTATATTTTTATTTATTTTGTTTTAATATTAATATTTAACTCACATGTATATTACGTAGTAGTATACTTATAAGATCAATTTACTCAAGTATATTAATAAAGTATATTAATATCAATGACCTGGTATTTTCATAAAGTATCAATGACATCGAGTTAATATTAATATTTAACTCACATGTATATTAACTTTATATTAAAGAAAAAGATACAAAGTTAGTGAGACACCTACAAAGGAAAGTTGACAAAATTTAAAAGGACGGGGTAGTATCACAGCACAGGGTAGTATAGTATAGTACACTCCCTTAGCTGTTTCCACGTAAATTGGTGGTATTTTTTTGTAACTTTGAGCTTGGAATAGTCTTGAATTTTGTTTGTAATCGATTGAGTAGATTACTTCTCTATGCTGAATTATTGACACAGTTATGAGTGCAACCTATTGATTAAAGGAAACGATAGGTAGAGATATTATAAAATCTCATAATGCAATATTGACACGAACATCCAAGGTTTGAAGTAGCGTTTCTATTAAAACATGGCTTAGTATTTTGTCCATCATTGATATGAAATTATTTAGCCCTTAGATTGTGGTTGAGAATTGCTAGCAATTTTGATATGAAAATATTGTGATTGAGAATTGCTACCAACTTTGATATCTCATTTTGTCCCCCTTATGTGCAATTTCATGTTCCGCTAACTGTTTGTTAACTTATGATTCTCTTTAAACCTTGTTTCCCTAGTTTTAACCAAGTTTCATTCGTGCATATTTTTTATCACTAAATTGAAAAATTGGGCCTGTTTATTTAAATTCTTTTCTGTTTCTCTAAATAATCGAATACATACATATATGCAAATTGAGAGATACCAGCATTTTACTCGATGTCATTGATACTTTATGAAAACAATCAAAGTCCCCTCATATATAAAAAGAATGTTCAAGATAGTTAACCTTGACTCCTTTATGTACAAGGATCCCTAGTTTTTGGGTAAATTATTTATCAATTTTCATAAATATCATTCATATGAAATTCATAGATTTTTGCAAATCAATAGAATTCATTCATAAAGATTTTAAGAAGTACGCTAAAAGCAGTGGACTTCTCTGTTGTAATCCAGTGGGTGTGAAATTTTGTTGAGTTGTTCCGGACCGACCGTTACATTCCGGATGAAGAAGATAAAAGTTACCCCCTAATTCATAACAGAGAAGGTAACATATATAGAGGAGTTTAAAATTGTAAACTAGATGAAAACGTTAATTAAATGAGAAATAAAGCAAATAAATTCATATTCATAGATCAATTCAAAGGTGAGGGCGTGAGGCCAACACAAGGAAAACGGAAACAGTAAACACGAGGGGTGAACAGAAAGTAAAAAAAAAAAAAGAACGGAACAACTTTTACAACAACAGTGAACGCCCAACATTTTTATTGTAGCATGCCCTCCCTAATCAT